TGTACCATTTTATTTATTTATTTTATTTATGAATTTTGGGCCTTTTTAAAAATGGGCCCAAATGACAGGTACGTACACCTACTGTACTATATTATAGAGGGTATAATATAATCACAACTCCTGCTCATAAGGTACAGATATAATATTTTGGGTTTACTAGTTTTTTTAAATAAAAATCTCATAGGACATTTTACCTCAGCCTCTATTTGTTCTTATTTTGTTGTTAATTATTAAGCAGCCTCAGTGGTCTTATAAAATGTGTTTTTATATTTTTTTTAAAAGTGTAATTTATAGATTAATGAATTTTAATATATCTCAGATGTAATTAATTTTCATAGAAAGATATTTAAAATAGTAATATGATGAGTGTATTCAAGTATTTTTTATTAGGTCACAGTTATAACTGAATTGCATTGATGTTTACAAATATTGGAAAGTACAGTGACAATTAAAATAGAATTAACATACAACAATACAAAATATTTCATATGTATTTAAACAATAAACAATTAAACAAAATCAAATATATTCATTAAAGTGTACGATTAAAATGAAAAATTAGGTTATACAAAATTTAACAAGAAAATGAACACTTCAATATTAAACTACCAACAATAAAAATATAGTTAAATATTCAAATTGTGGGTCCTGCAATTTAATATTGAATAATAATGATGATGTATCGGTACACAATATTCCACTCCCTAAGAATACCAAACTTAAACCACAGATTATCATCGCCAGCGTGATGTGTGGGATTATCATGATTTCTTTAGTTGATGAGGTATTGTTATGTTTATAAATTGACCAATTTAACACCTGAACAGGGACATTGCTTGAGTTTTGCAGTCTTTTCAAAGTACAGTGGATGACCATGGGACAGGTCAATTGGTCAAGCACAATGTCACTTAACATTATGCCCAAAAGCCTATTAGATTAACCCTGACCCGGAAAAAAGACCATTGGTCAAGGAATTACAGTGTTTCCATTCTAACCAGTTGGTGTAAAATCCTTGCCTAAGGACATGGTTTATTGTGACTATTATTAGTAATTTATCTTTTTTCAATAAAACAAAATTGTGTTTTGTTTGCATTTTATTTATTTAAATCATGAATCAGGAAATTTTAGTTACTGGTATTATGTATTTATTTATATTACAATCAATCTTTAATTGTCCTTTCATAAATATATTTGTTCATACATTATCAAAAAATAGCACTCTCTTATTTTAGTTTTGTATATTTAATTGATGATTTATTGTAATGGATTTTCATAAATTATTTACTAATTATTTAAAGATATTAGCAATCATTCATAATTCTAAAGCTACCATACAATTTAAGTGATGATGTCAAAGAGATTTGCTTGAATTCATTCATACTTCCATGGAATTTATTTATTAGTGAATATATTGTGATGAATTTATAATCTTATACAGTAGTATTTACCTTGAATTTTGGATGTTGAGAAATATATTCTCTCAGTAGCTGGCTGTCAATGCACACTCCTCCAGAAACACATGGACAAAAATTGAGTCAGACCAATAGTTTGCAATGCCTTTAATATTTAAATTCATCAATATTATGAGAATATAATAAAATAATTAACAATAATAACACAGTACTTGAGATAGGTCATAGTCTCTTCAAGAGGTATAAAAATATGTTTAATTTTACACCTCCTTGGTCTCTTTAAAAGCAATATTAAATGTGAACTCATGATACTTTGATCCTATTGGTTAGATTTGTATTGTTAGATAATTATCTAATAAAAATAATTGTCTGGTAATAAGTATTTAAGATGATACCAGTGCTTTTGGTTACTTACTTTACTAGGCTTCATCATCCGCTGTTGGATGTAGCCCTCCTAAATGCCATCCATTTGTTTCTGTTCTGTATTTAAGTTGTCATTAATATCCAAATCCTATAAAATCTAAATTTTGCTGAATATTTTCATTCCAAATTAGTCAAAAATCTAATGGAATTAAAGCTATCATTGCATATTCTTATATTTTTGCTAATCAAATTGCTATTTGGCTGATTATTTTCATACTGTTTTCTAAGTAGCCAAATTGCTAAATATTATTTTTTGGGCAGCTTAAAGCCTGTGATACCTTAATGTCCATCTGATATGGGAAAACCTATGGTTGTCTTCTCTGTAATAGTAGTACTACATCAAGTAAACTACAATATTTTTTTATAACACAATTTTTAAGAAAACTTCGGCTGTGATTGCTAAAAAATAAACACGAAATAATAGAAAATTGATTCTGGGGTAAAATGTCAAATGAGTTTTTATTTTTTTTAAAATAGAAAAATCAACAAATCAAGCTTGTCACATACAATACACTTTTTTTTTTTTATAAGAACACTGAGGCTGAAATTGCTTAAAAATTCAGAACAAAATAAAAACAAATTGAGGCTGAGGTAAAATGTCAAACGAATTTTAATTTAAAAAAAACTAAAAAAACCAAAACAAAATATATCTATACCTTATGTGAAGTAGGTGTGACTATGTAATGCCCTCTATCATACAGCACAGCTGGTGTACCTACCAGTCATTTGTGGACATTTTTACCAGGGTCTTTTTCCCCGGGTCCATTTTTTCTGAGGCCACTTTTACCTGCATTCCAGTACAGTGTATACTGCTGTACAATAATAATTTTATGTTTGAAAAGTGTGTAACGTAGGAACAAAATACAAACATTTTGAGCCTGAAATCAGCCAAAAAATAATAACACTGAGCCTGGACAAAATTTTACTGGTTCTTATAAAAAAAAGTGTATTAGCAGTAGGTGACTATGCAATAATACTCTCCATAATACAATATTTTTTTAACATGTAGAACACGTATCAAATTAAGATCTGATGAATATATCGCTACAAAAATCACACATCCCATTCTGATTATGCACTTATTCTTGAGTGGAGATTCTAACACTAAGGTAGATATACTTCTTTGAGACTCTGGCAAACGATCTTTGTATCTCATACTTAAAAAAGGCATGGAAGCAGAGAAATGATATTGTAAATTGTAAAACCTAATTAATCAGAACATTCAAAATAGAAAAATATCTGAGAAATGTTATAAATAGTAAACTTGGCCTTTTTATACATGTTACTGTTCATGAAGATTTATCAAGTCTTAAGAATCCTTTTTATTTCATGTCTTGTACATTGCCTTGTTACTGTTTATATTATTTGTTTACAATATTTACTTTTTATGAATGCACCGTCATTATGCTACGTGTTTTTTCAAATAATGTATTATTATAATTGTTGTACAGTAATACACTGCTGTACAATAATACTTTTCCTAGAAAACTTTGTAAAATAAAAACAAAATAAGAACATTTTGAGCCTGAGATTGGCCAGAAAGTAAGAACACAATTTTACTGGTCCTTGTATCTATGTAACGATTCTAGACTAGATGAACATTTGTACAAAGATTGTTTAGTAACAAACACATTTTACATTCTATTCTTTCGTTCACTCAATTGTTATTTTAATTTAAGTATAGCCTAGATTCGTGGTCAGTCAAGGCTGAATGTGTGACTGACCATCAGGCCTCAAGTTCATTATCCTCAACACTGATTGCCAACCCATATCTTAAAAATTGTTTGCCTACAGTACTACAATGTTACGTCATGATACCATGTGATACTACTCCATTGCTATCGTTGCAAAAAGCGTTAAACAGGATGCCATTTTCACTGACAAACCATTTATCCCAATTTCTAACGTAATTATTAAGATGTTGCTTCTTATTTTTTCTTTGGAAATTTTAATTGATGATTATATATGTGTTCGATAACTAATATAATGTGAGCTTTTGTGTTTTTAATACATTTTTATGGTAAAATATTAGATTTTAAAATGCCTATTCCAAAAAGCCTATGAAGTCATTCAGGCTTAGTGAACGGTAACTAACTTCTGTTGACAACACGACACGACTGTGGTACTCTAAATGTGTATAGTATGTTTTGGTCACACTATCAAATTGTCTGTAACAAATATAGATGTGATTAGCCCAAATATGGGCATGTTGTTGTCATGCCTCGCCCATATTATTCACTGGTATTTTCACGTGGATAGAGATTTATCTAGTTTAAGTTTTGTATTCAATAATATGAATAAACTTTATTGCAATCATCACTGATTAAAAAAAATAATGAGAAAATATAGGACATAAAACAGGGAAACATCAACAACAAAAAATATCTGGAAAAGGGAGGGAGACGGGATGTTTCAACTGCGCAGAACAATTTTGGAACAAACCATGATTAGTATTTACCTTTAAAGTACCAATTTTTATGAATTGTGTTATTACTATTGAATAGAAATGCTATCATAATTTATATAATGATAATTGTTATATTTTATAAAGATGATTCATTCTAACCAAACAATCAATCAATTGCCTGTATTTGTTTTGTGCAAAATTGCGAAACAAACTTCTGAACAATGACAAGAACCTGGAGTGCCACAAATAATCTAACAATTAAAAAGAAAAGTAGTAAAAATGTTCAAGCACTGAATTGTACTGAATTGAATTGATGCATTTATTAATTTTTATTGATTGAACCACTGAGCCTGTGATTGCAAGCTGAACACCCTTCCACCATTCCACAATTCTCTTGTAGATGATTTACAACTATTATTGATATTTATATATTTTTTTTAATTTAGACTATTTTATTATTTTAATATCATGTCACTATTTCATAGAAATGCATATACCCATATGAATTAATGTTACAGTGTTAACAAATTAATCAATGTCAATCAATCAATAGTCATTTATTTAGGAAGCTGACAACAATCGTAAATTAACAAAAATTTAAAGCTGAAATCAACAGAATCATCTAGACTATACATTTTGGAATCATAAAAACAAAACCTTTGAAGTCAGTTCAATAATGATATAAATATTCCACAAGTAAAACTCTCATAGCAATGCATTGATGCAATCACTGAATTTCAACTTGTTTAAATTTTTAGATGCACATGGACTAAGTAACGTAACCGCAGTGGCGGAGTTGCAGAATAATTTGGTGGAAGCGCTACGTATTCAAGTAGAAGGAAACCATCCGCACAATGCTGTTACACTCATGGGCAACCTTTACAATAAAATGCAGGAGCTACAACATATTCATAAAATGCACCGCGATTTTGCACTAGACTGCAGCCAGCGGTGGCCCGACATTTGCCATGGCATACCGGCGCTTTACGCCGAGATGATGGACGTGAATGTGCAAACATGAAGCGAGTCATTTTCACTGAGCAGCGACATTTGTTGATGCAAGTATTTGGTGGCCATTATTGCTCATCTGCGTGATGCTCGCAACTTTTACGGCAGGGATTTTCTTGTAACATTTCTTTTTGCTTTAGTATTTAGAGATTGCATGAACATTGTTAAAAGGAATTGTGAAAAAAAAGATGTTTCTAACAGAATAAAATTACATTTGCTCTTATCTACTAGAAGTTCAATTTTCAGAGGAGTTGGTAAAATGTTGATAATGATATCTTAAAAGATATTGGATTGACCTAGGGGTTTTTGTTAGCAGTAGTGTTGCGTACCACTACGTAACCCTATTTTTACCACCATTTTATCAAATTTGGAAATGTAAATGCAACTTGGACAGCATCGTATGATCACCATGTTTAACTCGCGCAGACATTAGGACCGTGTTAAAGGTATGTCTGGAATAGTTGTGTTTGTAGAATATTAAACATGGTTAGTATTCTCGCGATGACCTTAGACCGTCTCCAAAGATAAATTGCACAAGGCTGTATTGTATGATGCTTTCTAAGTGCGCCTTTTGATGATAGTAGAATTCTGCAAATCTGTGTAAGAAATGAGGAAAAAGTTAGGTCTACAAGTCTACAAGACAAGTGTACAATTTTACGTCGTCATAGTAGATTTTGGTGCTATTAGATTTACACTCTGTTGACACTGAGAATGTGGTGTAACCAAAATTGATATCTTCCAGTCGAAAAGAGCAAATCATTTTAGATTATAATATGTAAATTGTAGATTATTGTTGTAGGTTTGGCTCTAATTCATTTTTGTTTCACAATCAGTTATTTTTTTATACTGTAGAATGTTTACCCATTATTGGCCATTCATGTTGATTATTATTAATGCCAAACTTCAGAAACCAGTACTTTTTTCAATAGGTAGTTTAGCGATATATATATATATATATAAATATATATATATATAAATATAGGTATATATTAATCTGTTATGTTGCGCATACAGTAGGGTAGTTTAGTGAACAGAGTTGGAAAAGGATAAAATCCTTAACATATGTTTATTCTTTGTCCTGTATTTCTGAGTTGGAATGCCATAAAAAAAATCAATTTGGTTTTCACCCACCGAATTTCCAATTTTTTTTTATATAATCAAGATTATGAGTGAGAGTGTTGTAGTTAATCTGTTGAACACTGCCCTCTATCATGCAGCAGTATTCTGTTAGACTTGCTTTTGTCTGCTCATTTGAGTATATAAATGCTAAACCAGTTGGCCTGAAATATTACAGTAATTTAAATCGCTTCTCTTCCAGTTACATTTAAATCTTTATGATAAAGCAAAAACATGTATCTAAATTACGGGTAAACCTAGCATTTGTTTTGTTTTATTTTTGTATGTAAATGCAAATCTATAACTTACTTTGATGATAATTTGATTGTGTGAATAGTGGAGAATAGCCAGAAAACTTTACAAAATTCAGATACATTTTGGTGCATTTTTTTATACTATAAACTTGAGGTAAGTTTTTGGTATACTTGGCTGCTCTATTCCCCACCTGATTGTTGGTTTTGGAATGGTGTAATTTTTCCTCCTATAAATTGTAATTAGTGTACAAAAACATGTTAACAAAATTGTATTTATAATTACTGTACCACATATCAGAATAACAAATTCTACAAACTGCCAAACAATCATTTTTATATGCTGTCTCTGTATTCATGATGAATAATATAAGAATATATACAAGGTAATAGTGTGTTGTAGGTTATATGATCGCCCAAGGGATTTTCTGTAAAAAGAATCTTTGTGGTTTGTCTAAAAATATAAATCTGTTTTTGAGAAATATTTGCAATTAGTCCAAGTCTTGTCTGAAAATATATATGATGATTACAAACCAATGGTAAACCATAATGCTAGCAATGATCACATGTCTGCGAACTTGTCTGCATATTAACAGGGAAAAAATCTGAATTTTGAATGTGCCAAATTTATTATAATATCATCATTTCTTCTTCCACAAATTTTATGCTGTTTTTGCTGTTAAAATAATTGGGTTGTGGTGGACAATCCAATACTCAGGTTATATATTACATAATAAAAAATAATAATTTAAAGTTAAATGTCTGCAGGGATGAAAGTTGTATTTTTCAAGATTTTCTATAAGTTCAGTTAAGAATATTAGTCTGCAATGTGTCACTAATTTGTAAATATAAACTAAATATTTTTCATATGATTTTGACTACAAATACTTTTTTTTGCTTTTATGATATATTTTTCCCAATTCATTCATTAAAATATGTTTGTGAGTTCAATGAAATTTGTATACCTTAAGTAGGACATCAATTCAGTGTATCTCCCCTTTAGAGATATAGTAACTAATGAATTTTAGTGCACTTCCTTTTTGCTGCGAATTTAGAAAGAAAAGTGCCATAGAATCTAGGCCACGATTTTGGTTTCTAGAAAGCCTAGACTTACGGATTAAAGGTTGTTACCAGGTGGGTAGCTCGCAGTAATGAGCTAACTCCCCTAGGGCCTAGGTAAAGGAAGCTTTTGTCAGGGGGGTAGAATTGACTGCCGAGTCACATAGACTGACTCAGCAACAACATGTTCATGTGTTGTCACGCAAAGTGAGAAGGGCGATCCGCAACAGGCTTGTAGTCAAGGTGTTTATAAGATGTACCTACAATCACTTCCCATGATGTAGCATTACCAAAATGGTGTGAATTATTTCACATTTTTAACTGCATGATCTTTAAATCCCAATTCAGGGAATATAGACATAAAAGTACATATGTTTACTTCCCATCTGCTGCGCATCCCACATCCCAAAAAACTTTAAATAAATATCACATGTATCATGTCTCAAAAATTTGAATTTGAGATGATTTTATGTTGTGTAATTGATTGTTATCCTTGTTTGTAATATACATTGAGCACCAAGGTTTTTAGACTTTTTACCTATTGCCGATGTTGGCTGTATATGCTGCCAACTGTTATTGCTGCTGTTGCCAAAACAATTTTCTGAAATATGGATAATTTTTAAAGATTTGGGTATTACTTATACGTTATCCAGGAAAAATATTTTGTATTACAAAACAGTTTGATACAAAAATGCTGCTTGCATTTCAATTGAAATAAAATATGAAATTGTGTTCATCTCCAGATTATTTAAATATGCTGCATAATATATGGCATAATCCAATTTGATTTAGTTAAAAGCCTGTGTATACATACAAGTATTGGTATGTATGTGTAAATTTTCAGATATTATGAAATCAAAAACATATATTAAAACATGCATTATCCTATAACCAATGAAAAATCAAATTAAACATCCTTGTATAAAATTAAAGTATATTTAAGTTAACAGTTTTTCTCATATTATGCTAGTATTTTCTGATTGGTCAGTTAGTAAGTCACATGTGTTGATGAAATGTCAATCATTGGCTATACATAATTTTGGTGCTATGATTCATGCAAGATTGTGTTCTTATTGGTGGAAACTTTATTTGTTTCAAATGGTATCTTTTGCATCTGTCCAATTTAGTTAGATATGAAAGTGTTTATAATTGAATTTGCTGTTATTTCTACTAAATCTAGTAGAATATTGAACTGCATGAAATAGATTCTATCAATTTTGGTAATATTTTGTCTTGTTGACTACTACCTCAAGATTGCTTTGTAGTATCAAGACATGGCACAGGACAAGTAAACTAAAAGGGAGGGAGAAATATGAAGTGGATAGGGATTGAAGTTTTGGATGTGTTATTGTAGGCTATTATATGATTGTATAGATATAATACTTTCAAATGTTATGTTGTTAAAATGTATATACAATTGTTTCATTTTCTTTTTATCTCTTTTCTTATATCAAGTACTAGTGCCTATTATTAGGTGTTGCACAAATTGTAGTTTTTGATTTTTTTTTTAATAGAGAGGTTGATTATTACATTTTATTGCATTTTATTATTTTTGTAATTGTTTGAACAAGGTTAGTATGAAGCCTGTAGATGTAGCCAATGCCAAAACAACTCAAACTTCTTTCCAGCACCGTTTGTAACAGTACTAGATTCTGAGCTACTATACTAGTAAGGTTATTCAAAGCATGCGTAAAAAGTGAAGTGAAAAATAAAATCAAGTTAAAGAATTTGGTATTACAGGCTATAAGCCTTGGTAATAAATATAGTGTTATATTAAAGTCTGGAATTTAAAGAGATAATTCAGATTCAGATTAAATTGGCACTACTAACTGAGAAATGTTCATCAGTTGTGTATTTGTTTTACATTTGTTTAGTGGCATATCTAGTGGGTGTGGGGGAGCACACCCCCAAAAATTACTCACCTCCCCCTAATCTTTTCTTTCTCTCCTCCCCCCGCCCCCTAAAAAAAAATCATGGTCAAGTAGTTAAAATCACCCAAAATCACCTTGTTTTGCGAATTAGTGCCCCTAAACTGATCATCGAGCACCCCCCCCCCAACCCCCATTTCAAGACTCCCAGATACGCCATTGCATTTTGTTTATATTAATCAGCTCACATTAAGCAAGCAAAACATTTGTCTTCATTATTAAACCAACATCAACATCATTAGTGTAACATAATTAGACTTCAAGATATACTGTCTGTCATGAGCTTAAAAAAAGTTTAAAAATTAATTCTATATTCCAATTGATTAATTTGTATATTTAAGTAATTTATTAAGTTACAATTAAATATTTAAATGAGAAAAAGAAGTCCCCATCCATTAAGAAACAGTTAAATAATACTAATATTTTTTAACTGATTAGACTTTTTTTTAATTATTTTATTAATCTATTCATAATAATAATAATAATAATAATAATAATAATAATAATAATGTCTTAAAGTGTTCATTGTGTGGTGATAGTTTTACTATATTATTTCTACAATTGCTGCTGCTTCTGCTGTTGCACAACTATTAATTTCACCATTGCTATAATTTTTGTCAAAGTTGTTGCTACGGGTTTTGTTATTGTTGTTGGTATTCTTAATATACTCCCAATATTACGATCACTGATTTTGCTATTACAGTAATTTTTTTTTATTGCTTTTCACTGGCCTGATTAAACATATCATTCTTTAGCAAATCAGCCAGGCAAAGTGGATACACCTAATTTAATTTCCTCGTTAATTTTTTCAAGGTATTGCATAATAAACGTAAATTAATTTTTAAATTGCTAACATGCAAATTAAGCTCTAAATTGAAAAATTACAAGTAAATTTTTTCCTCATTAATTAAAAAAATAATAAATACCGTTTCAGTAATTCTTTACATAAACCCCCCTCCCCCAACATTGTTCTGATATTTAAAAGGTTTTGTAGTAACTGTTTTAAAATCAACAAAATTTATTTTTTTGAATCTGACATACTTATGTTGAATTTATTATAATATTTTTTTAAAGAAAAATTAAATGTTTTATAATTTATATGCTCTTTTGAATTGAGATGGAACAAATTCTGTGCACTTGAACACAAGCAAGAAGAAAAAATAGTAAGAAATCTATCTGTTTTGTTGCAACTAATTGTTTCAACAATTAAATGAATTTCTTTAAGAAAATACAATATTTGAATAAATTTCATCTGGTTTGCTTATATTTTTAATTTTTTTTTGCAGTAAGTTTACATCAAATTGTGCTGCTTTATTATTGATTAAACAGTTCTACAATAAGAAAATGAAAGTAAAAGAACAAAAAAAAAATCTGATATCAGAGATTTACAGAAATATTTACAAACTACTTATATTGTTAAGTATCAATTGCAATTGTTGGAATATGCTTTAAACCTGGTTTCCATAAAATCGCTACACTGTCACTACAGTGTTTTCAGTGCAGTCGTTGTACTGCGTAGCAGTCTCCGGCGCAATCAAAGAGGCTTCCCGATTCGACCGACCAATCAGCATCACCGAAAGCTGTCGGCGATAGCATGTAGCACTTGTATGGAAACCTTGCTTTATATTGTTAACATATTTATATTCCACAATTAAAAAAAGCATATTCTTAATCATTTTATCTTCAAGGGTGGACATTTCACAATAGTGGGTAAAACCTTCCACACAACCATTATTACAGATTTTGCAATTTCAAGAAGCATTAATTCTATATTCATATTTATTAATTTTGATATAAATGGCCATTTGCAGAAACTTAATGAATATTCTACAGTGGCAGATCCAGGATTTTGAAATAGAGGGGGCCCAGGGAGGGACTTTAACGGATAGAAGGTAGGCCTATACCACCTCTGCCCAAACATGGTTGAGGCTGAGGCAAGACAATTCATGATTATGGCACCTCAAAAAGGCTGGAAATGGCACTCTCAGACTTTAAATTGAATATAATTTTCTTTTTCCCCCATTTGTTTATAATTTTGAAAAATATAGGGGTGTGGTGTGTGGGGCAAGGCCTGTTGGTTGCCCCTTTAATCCTCCACAGATCCAAAACTTTAAAGACTTGCATATGTTTTACAGATATAATATAATATATATTTAATGTCATTTATCAAAATGAAAATATAATTATGAATATGTAATAATAATTTTCAGTGTTAGTTTGAAATTTAAAACCAAATGCTAATTAATTTGATTTCATATTGATAAAATTACAGATTTCATTTGCTTGGTTTTGGCTAATGTTCTAATAAACCTGTTTAAACAAAGCCTACAGCTGCTTTCGTCATCGGAGTATAGGAAGTATTTCACAATTTACGACAGATATTGATGCAAGATGACAGAGGTAGATCATTGCTGGGTCTTTGAGGTGTCCGCAGGCTGTTGTGTTTCTTATGGACTGGTATACATTACATTTACATTTTGAAATTATGTTCTAATTTCCTTTGAAGTTGAGGCGAACAGGTGTGAATGATTCCCTCTACGTTTACTACAATGAAATACAGTCATCCAATTGTTAACATACTGCTTTATTGCACAATTCATGCAACGAAAGATAATTTGATGCGGACATTATTAAAATAAACTATTTTTTAGAGGAGACAGAAATATGGAATTAAATTTTATGATCCAGACTAAATATAGGTAATATAAAAATAGTAAGAAAAAGAGTATGTTGAGATTTATAGCAGCTTTACTCAGTCAAAACTGGTAGTAGCCACTGCTGCTCTCTCTACTTATGTTTCAGCTAGAGGGCAGGAATACAAATGATACAGAATTTGGCCCATGTGAAAGAAGACAATACTCCCTTCTACAGTACATCACCACCAGACAGACCACACTGAAAACAAAACTTCAGACCTTTTGTGTGTTTCAAACAAAACCTATCCTCCTCTACTAAATAAGTTAATAAAAGCAAAACAAAAATGTTTTTTTTTTTTTTAGAATTTGTTGTAATATTTAATTCAAAAACACTTTGTTGCACAAAAGATATAATCAACAAAGCTGTCAAATAGAACCAAAGCATAGGCCAGGACATCAATTAATCAGTCAGAGTTATATAGCGACATGACACTACACAAGCTGTTAAACTTATTGAGAGAATGTTACTTCATAAGGTAAAATAAAAAGGAATTTTACAGAATATAAAACTCAAAAACTATAATATTGAAAATATTTTTAAACAATTATATACTGTATATCATCTTCAGAATCTTTATATTTTAACTGCAGAGACCTACTTGTTTTTTTTTTTAAATGATTAGAATATAATTTATTTTTCCTAATGGAATTTGTACTAGTTTTATTATAGAGCTTTTATGTTATAATTTTTTTATGTGCAGAGCATTGAACCTGTGTGACTGGATCTTACACCTGTGTTTATTAACTTTAGTGTTCGGAGTATTTATTCATTTTACATGTGCAAGAAAATTGAAAAATTATTGAATAATAAATAAACCTAATTTAAATTAAGAATATCTTGTAAAAGTTGAAATTATTTTTTACTGTGATTGCAGGTGGTTTTGATAAAACTAATATTTCTGGCCAAAAATAGGAAATGAATATCCAATTTGTATGAAACCAACCTTTGAAGCCATGCCATCATGCACCATTGCTGATGTATAAACATCTCTGTATTATTTTGTGTTCGAAAAAAGAAATAAGTGTATTATGTTACAATAAATTATGTTTAGTATTAGGGCCAATGGCCCTTGTACTTGAGTAAATTCCCTGAATAGGGAAAGAAAGAAAAAGTATTATTCAGGCTATCACAATTCTGTGCATAACATGTCTTTAATGCATAATAATATAAAAGATGCCCTTCTCTAAGTTGTAAGCTCCCAATAAGACTTTATACACATTGGTGGATCTGAAAAGGGGTGGGGGAGGGGGAGTGGAGCATCAGGGGGTCTCCGGGCAAAAAAAAAAAATTAATTAAAAAAATGCAAAAAAAAATAAAATAAATTTTAAAAATGTAGACATACCTTTTTGGGAACCGTGAGCTGAAATTTTTGTTTTGCAATGGGAAAATTAGTCGGGAAAGCTCATTTCCCGCCATCTTTGAATCAAAATTTTCCCAGAAGACCCCCAACCCCCTTTCTTTTTGGGATTCATCGATTCATGCAAAAAAGAATATGCATGCAACAACTTAATTTTTTTTTCTGTATATATACCGATACACACATAATAGGCCTATTTACTGGGAATCAAAATTTTCCCAGGAGAGTTCTCCCCCTTTCATTTTGTGGTTCTTTTGAAATATTTTGACCACTCCCCTTCCCCCGCCCCCCCCACAAATATGAACCCAGATCCACGCCTGATACAAGATAGATTGACTTTTATGTTTGGTTTGCATTATGAATAATGGTTATAATTGTATAATGTTATAGATAATATTTTATTCTGTAGTCTATTCCTAGACTGGTTTTGTGCCTTGCATTTGGCAATATATTAC